GGGGGGGGGGGGGGGCGACCCCCTCCCCCCCGCAGCACCTAGTGGCCTATACAGTGGGGTAGTACACGGGTAGTACTACCCCCCCCCTGTGACGCCTTCTCCTTCGTGTACAGTATAGTGTACGTGTAGTACTGTACAATACTCGCCGAAATTCGGAAGTGGCAGTCAAAGTCTTCTCAAGGAAAGTGAATAACCGTACGATTTGCACGTGTTCTAAGTCGGGCAACCTGATACGCGCTCATGCCACAAATCGCGACCAGTGCATCGGCATGCGTGGCCACATCCGGCTATTCTGGTGGGAACACTACCATTTTGCTTTTATTACCGTTGCAAGACGTGGAAGGAAGTCGTGGTGAACGCAGTCTCACAGTAGACCAGCCCGCCCATTCTACCACGATTTAAACTTTTCCAACAAACCATACGTTCCGATGGACAGGTCGAATCTGGATCGCGCGCCCCAATATCATTGGAGAGGGTCTCATCGCCGTTGTGCGACCAGGCACACTTCAGTCCTATTTCACGACGGTCGGTATCAGCAAAAATGCAGACTGCGTTGCTGCAGTTGACAACTTAGGTAATGTGGTTTTGCTTCATATCCGGAGAAATAGGTTTTCACTATTGTCGCGGGAGGGTAAGGCGGGGACGTCGGTGGCCTTCGGTGTATCCAACGAAGTCTATGCTGCCTTCACTGACAATGTCATCCGCGTCTACGACAAGGACACCGGTGTTGTCCTTGCAACACTGAAGGGCCATCGCAGCCGCATTACGCATATTGAGGTTGGACCGGGGGGGGTATCTTTGCTCTCCACATCTGCTGATGCTGTCTTCTTATGGGACGCTAAGGGGACATACCGCAGACGTTCTCTGAATGGTGGGCCCCATCGTGCATTTTTTGCGCGCTTTGCAGGTGAGTCTGGAGACCGCGTCATAGTAGGTTTTTGTGATGATTCCATGTGGGTCTGGACGAAGGATTCTTGCGAGCTCATTTCCAAGCTCCATCTGTCTCTGCAAAAAAATGCGACTCCAGATCGAAGGTGCGACTTGTGCAAATCTATCTCGGTATCGTCTAATGGCCGTTACGTCATCACCACTAGCAATTCCACTGTTCTGTGTCTCTGGAACATAACCAGTAGCCAACTAGAGCACTGCATCGAGTTGCCGGCAGCAATAAACCATGGATCAGGAATATCATTCATTTATGGTGGAAGTGCCGCGCTGTGTGCCTGCGTTGACGGCACTCTTCGTGTAGTAGATCCCTTCAATGGGGTGTTGACGCACACCATCAAGGTTCAAGATAACACAAAACTTAACTCTGTTTCTATGAGCGTGGAATCCGCTGGTAGGTATGCTGCAGTTGTGACAGGTACCAGTTCACTTCGATTGTATGACCTCCACATCCTGTGTGCAACACGTCAAGATTTTCATCCAAGGAAACTTCAGCTCTTTCAAAAGGGTGTAGTGGCTACGAAGGATGCAAACGCCAGCGATGCAGACCTGAAGACGGCGTATGCTGACAATCCAATGTCGACTGCTACGCCTTCACCCCCTCAGTGCGATTCAATATTAGAATCTATATTTTCGCCGCTAAATCGAAAATGTTTCCTGCACGGTGATGATGCACGTTTAATTGTTGGAAAGGCGACGTTCTCCAACCAGCGTGGTTCACTTGGTGCCCCACCTGGGCGTCGGACAAAGCTGACAAAAGCTCGTTGCGGACCTGGCTGTGTTGCTAAGGCTGCCCCAGCATCGTCTCACGCTGCTGCTCGATTCCCACTTCCCGACATTTTTTCAGTGTCAGAGGTTGACGTGCATCAGTCGAGGGGCGGAACACGGGCAGTGTCTTCCTCTGGGAATGGTGCACACCCCATACTTGGTGGCTCCAGGGAAAAACAAGTTAGTGCAGTCGGCACGGTGCTATTGCGAAACCTTTTGTACACATATGGGGAATACCCTAGGAATCACAGACTAGCCATGTGGCGCAAACTGTTATCCCTGCCCAACAATGAAGAAGCTTATGCAGCGCTCTTGTCCAAGGGAACCCATCCAGCGTTTGCTGAACTCCCACGTAGATTTCCCACAGCAGATAGGTTGTTATTGGCAAGGCTTCGACGTGTCGCCTCTGCGCTTGCGCACTGGTCTCCCATCTGTGCAGAAGCAGTCGTGGTACCTGGGATGCTATTTCCGTTCGTCAGGACCTGCAGGGGAGATGAAGTGTTTGCATTTGAAGCATTAGCCACTGTATTGCACAATCATACGCGAAATTGGTTCAGTTATTTCCCAGATCCGCCCTTCGTCTTGCTGAACAAAGTGAATTCTGTTGTCCAGAACCACGATCCTGAACTAGCACATCACTTGGAAACCTTTCCTGGTGGCCTTCACAACGTCGCTTGGCAACTTCTTAGTACCTTGTTTACCGATGTCACAACAGCTGATGAGTGGCTGCAGCTGTTCGATCACATACTCACGAACGGCAGTGATATGCTTCTGTATTTGACTTCGGGATTCATCATCACCTGGCGTGATACTTTCCTCAACGCACAAACGAGTTCGATTACTTTACCACAACTATTCATCCGTGAATCGGGAGTCAACGTGCCCCGTCTCTTAGGCATTGCGTATGAACTACGTGACAGTACCCCCTTAGGTTCCTTGACGGCCGACTCTAATTTGTCGCATGCAGAAAGCGTGTCTGTCTCTGAAACAGGTCTTACTAGCTTTTTCGTAATTCCCAAAGGCTCCACCTACCCAGTCTTTGAAGATTTTCCTCTGCATGCTTTAAAAATGACCCTCGATAGACGGGAGCGTGTCTGTGAGGATGAACACATGCTAATATCGCACCAGAACGGGGTGACGACTCTATCTAGGCGAACCGACGAGTTGCACTCCATGGAAATGGGATGGGAATCGGAGGCTGCTTTTTTAGCTGCCAGCGAGGATGAGTGCAAAAGTATTCGCGTCAACTTGCAGCGCACTGTGTATTCAGATTTAAAGCACTCAGAGCGAACGGAGCGCGCTATACGACTCCGTCAGCTTGAGATGATCGAGGGCGCGTACCAAGCAGCTCTACGACAGAAGAAGAACGAGTGGATCAGTGAACTGGAGAAGTTGCGCACTGAAGTCAACGAGCAACGGGAAAGCTTAATGGTACATACGAAAATAAATGGAGAGAAAGACCGGATTCACATCATGGAAGGCCAGACACGACAGCGTCTGATGGCGCTCGAATCAGAATTGAGAAATGAGGCAGAGCTATCAAGCGCGGGGGAAGAGGTGACAGAAGGGGAGTTTATATTGAAAAATATGGAGAAGGAAACCGTGTGCATACAAGTAGGCGAGTCCCAGAACTATAATTCGAAGACGGCGAGCATTGGTGAGAACCGCGACGCCGTGCGTGCATTGACTTGCTCAGGTAAGTATGACCATCTTAGAGGTGTTAGGGTGCCGTGCTCAGAAATTCGTCGTGAAACGCACGAACACCCGCCTGCAAGATTTGCGTCTCTCCCTGCTGTTGTGGACGATACGGTGGCAGTGTTGGCGGTGCTCATGGGCCAAATGTCGACAGCTGGAACAGTCGATCCATCGGCATTCGAGGGCATATCTCCACGGAAACGGCATGCACTACATGAGGATGATACTTCACTGAATAGTTTAATGTCGGACTCATCCATCAGTGGTGTATCCCCAGCGGGTTCTGACTCCTCATAGGGTTGAGTGCTGACAGGTACTTCTGGAAGTACCTTCGTACTTTCGAAAGTACTACTTCTGTAGGTTGTTTCCTGCCGATGATAACTTTGATATCCCTCACGTGCCAGTGAAATCACGTACCTTCGTAGATAGTTGTAGTGCCTCACAGATACCAGAGTATTCAACTTGTAACTACAACTTTGCGTATGCGACGTTGTTAATCTTAATAAGATCTTGCTTTAACTGTTTTCCTTACAGTGTGTCCATTGAAACTTATCTGTGGATACTCTGTTGAAAAGTTGACGACAATTCTGTGAAAAGCAATAGGGTCTTTCAAATGATTGGAGGACGCCGGATCTTCCCAGCTCGAAACTATATATAGAACGGATATATATATATATACAGTAGAACGGATGTGGCCCGAATGCAAACAAAAAATGCGACAGCCAGACCCTCATTTTTCTTTTTCAATGTCTAACCCTCTGAAGACAACACCACGTTGTGCACGATTTTCTCGAAATTCACACGTTACTGGCGAAGTTGCCGTCAATCTCATACCTGTCACTGCGTGTTTTCAAAAACGCCTTTAACTTCCACATCATGTTTCTTGGTTTTTTCACCTTTCCACCTAGCGCGGCAATGTGTGTCCTCGGGTGCCTCTTCAAATATTCAGTGACTTTCTGTGCATAGTCTTCATAGATTTCTTTCATATTTGGTGGGGTGCTGCAAGTGCTAGCATTCAAATGCGTGCCACGATCCGTGCTTGATTCGAAGCGCCTATCCGTTTTTGGATGGGCAACTGGCCTGGAAATATGACTCTGGTGTGTCTCATTCTTCGTGACATTCTCCTTTGCCCTTGAATAATCTTCGTCCTCAAAAATGTTCGACTGAAAGCTTAAACTCTCCTCTACTTGTTTGGGTTCCCCGAACATTTGCAGCGTGGATAATGCCAGACCCTCAACAGGGATGCTTTCGATGTTGGAGCCACCCGACTGTCGCAACCCTGTTACGTGAAGTTGGTTGGTGCCTGAGTTGCTCAGCGTGAAGTTGACATCGACCACTAAATCCAAACTGGCCTGCGCACATTTATCCAAATCAAGGGTACATAAAACGTACTCTTCGTCACCGCGACGAAGAATAAGAGAGTTGCGTCCAGAAACAGCGTCCACAGGGAGTGCCACCTGCGTCACGTGTACGTACTCATTCCTCTCGTTCACTTCGACGTGTAGCTTTTTCTTCGAAGGAATCGCGGCGCCCCAGAACTCAACAAACATCTACCAGCTCGAAAGTGGAATCAGCAAGAAGATGCCCGGCGTTGTAGGGCTATACGTGTATATACATAGCCCTACAAGTATTACACGAGTAACTGAGCTCTATCCCGTCGGGGCAAAACATATGAACGAGCACGAGCAACCCTCTCACACATATCACACAGTGTGTGTGTGTGTTATTTCAAGTCTCCGTGACGTGCAGTATCTACAACGTAGGGATAGCTATCTACAGTACCTTCGAAGGTACTTTCGTACTTTCGAAAGTACGAAAGTACCTTCGAAGGTACGAAAGTACTACGAAGGTATCTAGCTAATAGCGTTATTACGAAGGTACGAAGATATTAGCTAGTAGTCTACGAAGGTATCTCCTCGTACCTTCGTATCATACGAAAGTACAGTACCTTCGAAGGTACAGTACTTTCGTACGAAGGTACGAAAGTAGAAAGTACACGTCAAGTATGAAGATAAATATCTACAGTACCTTCGAAGGTAGGCCCTAGCTAGCTAGCTACAAAGTACGAAAGTACTAGCTAGCTAGCTACTTTCGTACTTTCGTACTTTCGAAGGTATTATGTTGTAGGCCCTATACTTTCGTACGAAAGTACTTTCGTACTTTCGAGAGTACAACGTTGTACTGTACCTTCGAAGGTAGCTAGCTACGAAGGTATCTATCTAGCTAGCTAGCTAGTAGGGCTACATGTAGCCCTACAGTACAGTACCTTCGTTCGTACGAAAGTACTTTGAAAGTACTTTCGAAAGTACACGTACTGTACTTTCGAAAGTACTTTCGTACCTTCGTACAATCGTACTTCCGTAGCTTTTTTATGACGAAGGTAGTTTTACCTCCAAACGGTAAAGTGAATTAACTCTCTCAACTTCGGAGGTATCGTATCATTTACGTCCGTCGAGCCAGGACTAGATATCTAATTGCCTGAACGATAGAATTGGCGCTTATTGATTTTTTCCTTGTCATCATGACGACGGAAAGAAGCTTTGTTCGCGAAATTCCCGAAATTCCTCTAGATAATAATGATAAAAATGATACGTCGAAAACGAGGAACGATGTAGACGTGGAAAACGGTAGAGGGGAACGCTTTCCGGTCAAGCAAGCGAGTTTTGGTCAAGACACCGAAACATCTGAAGACGCATCTTCCGGTAATTCCTCAGCTGAAGAGGATGAACAGTCTTGGATATCTTGGTTTTGTGGTTTGAAGGGAAACGAGTTCTTTTGCGAAGTAGACGAAGAGTACATCCAGGACGATTTTAACCTCAGTGGCCTGAGTACTATGGTTCCGTATTATGATTATGCACTCGATCTGATACTCGATGTGGAGTCCCCGAATGACGATATGCTGACTGAACAGCAACATGAGCTGGTCGAATCTGCCGCGGAAATGTTATATGGTCTTATACATGCTCGTTACATTCTTACAAGCCGTGGTATGGTTGCCATGCTTGAAAAATACAAACAGTGCCATTTCGGGCGTTGTCCACGGGTTTACTGCAACAACCACCCTTGCCTGCCAGTAGGAACATCTGATATTTTTAGGACAGCCACGGTAAAAACATTTTGCCCGAAGTGCGAGGCAAGTATTATTAGTTTTCTCCGGTGAAATTTTCGATCTGAAAGGTGATTCCCAGGACATTCATTTTCCAAGGAGTAAATATCAGGGAAATATCGATGGTGCATATTTTGGCACCACATTTCCCCATCTTTTTATCATGACATATGGATATCTGAAGCCCCAGAGGAGCTCAACCGATTACGTGCCAAGAATTTTTGGCTTCAAGGTACAGCAGTGCCTTCCTCTCTTAACACTAACTTACACTGAGGAGTGAACACTTCGCACATTTCTGACAGATACACGCCTCGAATGACACGCTGGCTTCGGTATCCTGCCAGCATCACCGAGCTGTCGCCTAATATTTTCATTCTTCCGGTGGGTACTCGACAGTGTGCAATTGAAGTCTGGAACAAAGGGGAAAGTGTCCTGTCAGGAGAACGACAAAAAGAACAGCTGTGTTCTTCAAGCTGGGTTCGTGCAGCCAGTAGGAGTAATTGAATTAAGTTTGTCTCGTTTTACTGTGGCTAAGATGACTCGTTGTCAAATGTGTACAGATATTTACTCGTATTCCAAGCTCCTCTCTTGCTGTGCGCCAATTGAAACACGTGCTATCGACCAGACATAAACAGAAAGGCCAAGGGTATTTCTTCAAGTAGTGTTCGGATACGATTTCATTATGCTAAGAGGACAGTTACGCATCCCATGGCCATGATCTCGATGTGCGCCATGTCGAAAAAGAACAAGTTTTGCTGTCCACAGAGCAGCTCCTTCTTTGTGCTGTTGAACTTGCGTTCACATCTACCTTCGAACTAACTTCCCTGTCGGGCTTCGAAAGTACTTCACTGTCGACCTTCACAGATTTACTTGCAATCATTTCGATTCCGGGCTGCGGAAACACGCGTAATCCTTTTAAGTGAATTCTTAACGCCTGGTAATATATAAAAATAGCAATACGGTGTGGAGTGCATGCATGCGTGAGAAACCGTCTCAACCCGGCTCGCTCACTACGAGCTCTTATTGCCCCTGTGTCCAGTTTTGCTGTCAGCGACGCTTCAAAGTATGTGTTGACTAAATGTGGGCCAACGACGCTAACTCGCACGGTTAACACTTGTTTCGGATCCGAAGCACTGATGTACCAATCACCGAACATGTCCATGTACGGAGAAACATGTACCGATTTGGGCACTAGCTGACCTGATGGATCGAAACTGAAGATGACGCGCTCATTCCAAGGGGTATTTGTGACTTCGGCGAGGCATAACTTCAGCGCCTCATCATCAGTAGTAGTAGATGCATTTCGATTTTCATAGCAGTAATAAATGCTTATTGGATTTTGGGCATATCCAAAGCTCCAGGGCACGGTTAAGAGCCGCACGCGTCCGTTTGTTCCACAACGCGCGCGTGCCTCAACTGCAGTCAAGTGGTCGCCAGCCTGCCCACTCCCAGTGAACCAACCAGGAGGCGAGTCCAAGTCAACAACGGCAAACCGTAACGGGTATGTGAAGGTATTCCGAATAGGACGCGTGCGTTCGTGAACGACACTCCCAAGAAAGAACGAGACTCCTTCGTGGGACTCAACTATCCACGTCTGTGGACGCAGGAGTGACAGGAATACACCGAGCGCAGCACGGGCAGAATGCCAAGTCAGTGTCCACAAGATGCACGCCACCTGAGCTGCTTGAATCAACAATTCTGATGTCATGCCAAGGATGTCTGCAGCAGTGGTGTCACTCTATTTCCGTGGGAAATGGTCGTACAGTAGCAGATTTCGTGATTTCTGCGTCAGCGAGGCTCACGGAGGTCCGTGAGGTTCTGTCGCTACGCTCAAGGTACGCCCCCGAAGTCTCATGATCCCACTAACGGTGCCTCCACGTCGCGTCGCGTCGGAGGCTAAAATCGAGCCCAATACTCGTAGTGAGATACCGCCTGGCGTTGGCGTTTCTTCTATGATACACATCCTATCATGTACGAAAGTACTTTCGAAAGTACTTTAGTACTTTGAAGTACAGGTACACGTACAGTAAATACGAGTACGTGTAGCTACGACAGACTACACGTACGTGTACAGCACTGCTACTCCTCAAGACTGCTACATGTGGGGCTACGACTACACGTGTACGTGTACACGTACACTACGTGTACTATCGGATGGGTTAGATAGAGCTCAGTCTTTTTGTAATCGGACATACACACTAGTGTACGTGTAGTTGTACTGTATGTACCCTGGCTTTCTGTTTCGCTACACGTGTAGAATGGCCCGTTTTTTTGCCAATATCACGTAACCTTAACAACTTTCCGGGCATGTGACTTTTTTGTCTTGAAAAATGCAAACCGCACAGCCGTCGCGGTGAAGCCGAAGACGCTTGATTGAGGAGGCTATGAGGAGGAAGATGTTCTGGCACGACGGCGTCGCGCTCGCGCACGCGCTCGCCCCCAACCCCCCCCCCCCCCGCGCCGCCGCGCCGCCGCTTCCGCCAGCTGAACGCGTCGACGCCCTCCCCCGGCGCGTGCGGCGTCCGGTTGGTCCCTCGCGCCAGCAGCCGCCGACACCGCCGGCATCGGATCTACACATGTACGTTTTCGTGTCTTCACACGAAAATCTAGCAATTAAAAAAAAGGCCTACATTCTCTACGTGTACAGTCCTTCACAGGGATAGGAATGACGAAACGGTGTAGAGTACGTGTAGTCAGGGTCATCAGAAATTTGGTCTGGCTCGCCGATTTCCCGTGTATTTGGTCTGCCCCCGAAAATCCCCCGAAAATCTGGGAAATTACCGTACTCCCAAATTAGGAAACCCCCCCGTAGTTTTGGGGTACACGGTACAGTAGTGTACTACAGTACGTGAGACTACGTATAACGTGTACATGTACACGTGTACGAAAGTACTTTCGTACTTTCGAAAGTACGAAAGTACTTTCGAAAGTACGAAAGTGTACGTTTTAGTGTGTCCGAAGAAAATCTAGACGTACACGTGTAGCCCTACGTGAGTCTCCTACGTGTACTGTACGTGTACACGTACAGTACACGTAGTCACGTACTGTATCTCATAGATAGCCCTATGAATAAGTACATTTGTACACGTACTTCCGGAAGTACACGTACAAATATTTTCGAAAGTACTTTCGTACTTTCGTACTATTTTTTCCATAATAAATGTACAGTACACTGTACAACTACACACCTACACAGCTACACACGTACTTTCGAAAGTACTTTCGTAAAGTACGAAAGTACACGTGTACTGTACACGTACTGTGATATTTATCATAGGGGGAGCCCTAGCTAGATAGATACCTTCGTAATTTATCTATTTCCGGAAGTACATGTAGGAGTCATGTAGGCAGGGTAGTGGCAGGGCTGTTGTAGCAGCTACGAAGGTAGCTACCTTCGAAGGTACTCGTACCTTCGAAGATAGCTAGCTAGCTAGCTAGGGCCTACGAATCGAAGGTACGAAGATAGATATACCTTCGAAGATAGCTTGGTATGATACGGAAGTACGAAAGTAAGTTGTTATGGAAGTACTTTTCGTACGAAAGTACTTCCGTATTCTATCTTCGTACGGAAGTACTTTCGTACTTTCGTACTTTCGTACGAAAGTACTCCCGTAGTTGTACTCCGGAAGAAACGGTTGACTTTTTAGTGATACGGGCCTACGTATACTTCCGGAAGTACTTTCGAAAGTACCTTCGATATGAGACGGGAAGATAGATAGCTAAGTACGCCACACTCGGTCGTCCGCCGATCAAAGCGCGCTGCGCATATTTCTTCCGTATATGCAATTGCTGCGCGGTCTGACAAAGGGAGGCGAATAGCACTGGACAAAACTGTTCAACTGGTTTCGTCTTGTGCGCTTTTGAGTATTTCTAGCTCTTCTCTTCTGTGACATCAAGTTTCGTCGATGCACGCCCTGTGCTAAAATAGGGAAACGTACCGTTCGTTGCGTTGATGCTTGACGTGTCTTGTTTCTTTGTGCCAAAAGAATATCAATACAGTTGCGTATCTCTGCGATGTTATCCGATGAAAGGGAAACAAACGGCCCTCAGAACTTCGAGTGGGTGCGAAAAACTTGTTCTCGGTTTTGATATTTCTTAAGTGTTCAAACTCGTTTCTGGTTTATATACAGAGCTCGATCGAACGTCTGTGCGCTGTTATCTCGGTTCGATTCAAGGTGAGCACGGCATTTCTCTCGGAGAAAACCCTGGATTTCTAGTTTTGAAAATGGGCAAAATAGGCGTGCACTTCACGAACTAAAAGCTATGAACTGTGTACTTCAGACCTCCAAGTATGATTTCCTCTTCGTCGTCTATTCTTGCAGGAGCCAGCTTTCGACACGTCTCTGAAAACTTCTGAGGTCCTAATTTCTTACAATCCTAATGACGATCTTGCAAGATTGCTATCATCGCTCCTAGCAATTAAGAGCGCAGTCAATGAAGTAGTCTACGCCCATTATGTTGGTTTTCATCGCTCAATATCAAAATATGCTGATATTGTTCATGTTTTTGACCACATCCAGCAGATTGTAATGTCCATGAGTTCGTCATTCACCACTGCAAGAGGATGTCTACGCTGTGAAAAGGGCAGCTTCATTGAACACACGAGAGCATGGGTTGAAACTATTACTTTGCAAGATTTAAATTATAGACTCCTCGAGGTCCTGAGTGTAACTTGTTTTCCAGAGAGGACACGCTTTTTTCTGTCCGGCGGTCATTATCTACCTGCTGTCGTGCTTGCTGTTGAAACCAACTCAATATTCGCCGATCTGTGTTTTCATCGTTCCGGTTCTGTTTTGCAAAATATTTTTCAGGAGTACTCAACTCACGCGAAGGCAATATGTAAAGCGGTTTCAGCAGAGCTCACTAGTGCTGTATTTCTTGGGCACATAAAGAATACGTGTAGTTCTTCCTACCATTTGAGCCTGTTTACCAAAGTACAACCTCGTAAAAGTCAGTGGGGTGATATGTTAATTGCGTGCTCGTCTGGGAAAGAATTGATAACTTTCTTTGGCAGACTTATGGGATATTTGGCAGGTCAACTAAGTTCAGATTTTTTTCTCTGCCCTTGTTCTTTTGTACTAGACGGGGCAGGACATGAAACCCTTAAGATTTTTCACAGGGAGCTTTTGCAGTGTTGTCACCGTAATCTGCTCATAGATTTCTTTGCCAGCAAAGTCTTCGCGCATCAAGTGAACTGTGTTCGGCTTGGACAATATCATCTTGTTCTTCAGTCTGTTTTAGAGCACATCCTCAACTCTTATCAAGTAATCCTCGCGAACATAGGGCAGGTCAATGATCTTAGAAGGGAAGTCGTCCAATTCAACTTCATTTCAAACGAGTTTCACCAGAATATCTGGATTGATGTAGCTCGAGTTGTTGTCGATGCCCTCTCTAAAACGCTGGATAGAACCGTCATGAACCTCAGTGGATGCACATTGTCGAATATTTTTCGCTGGGAAATTTGCGATTTTGAGTATGGACTCAACTCAGCATTTTCTAAATCAGGTAATGGCCAAAGGTTATGCCTATTTAGAGATGCTGATGAGCTTAGATCATTCACTTTTCAATGGAACCGTGGTCGCAAAACGATGTGCGAAACCGAGAAGTCGAAGAAACCGTACCACGTCGACCTATGTAAGAAAAGCTCGGGCTTCCAAGCCAAAACTATGGTTTGCCACTTGGCTGAAGTTACTCGAGCGGCTCAGCGGCTACAGCGAACATTGGGTTTACCAGACTCACGCACGCGTGGGATTTTTGATGAGTACTTGGCATGGACTATCCTTGTCAAGACTTCACAGCGCTTAACATGCGATGCATAATTTGTGGTGCAAAAGGTCTTCAGGATATGCCAATCTTTGTCTACAGGAGTACTTCGAAGGTAAATATTTTCTGATCTTCAGGGAATATTTTTCCTTTGCAATTCTGTCCGTGATAATTCCTGTGAAGGTTTGCGAAAAAGTTTCGGGTGAAGTTTTATGCGGATCTCGCAATTCATCGTGCAGCGTATTACGAACAGAATTCTCACCAAAACAGCCGTTTTATAAAGACAAGAAATATTTTTTCGAAGTGCGAAGTTTTCTTCCTGCAACCGTGAGCTCTCCTCCTCCAGTTCAAAGACCCTAAGCCGCAAATGTTGAACTCGAATTTCTCGTTCTTGTGCTTGCGCCTTCTCGCTTAGTGGGATGCAATGCGTGTTCATCTGATTTTCGCCGAACTCCTTTCAAGTTTCTAGAAAGAATCTTTGTAAGTTCGTGGTGTGGAAACTTCTCTTAGCCAAAGCATTTACCTTCGTAGGGCTAATGTAGCCCTCGAAGGTACGGAAGTACTTCCGGAAGTATGACTACATGTACACGTACAACGTACTTCCGGAAGTACTTTAACTATGCTGTACTTCCGGAAATAAAAGTTCCGAAAGTATCATACTTCCGTACTTTCGAAAGTACGAAAGTAAGTAGCCCTACGTGTACTTCCGAACAACGTGTGCCACTCGTGTGCCTGCTACCTTCGAAGATATTTCCGGAAGTACACAATACACGTACAGTACAACTACTGTACTTTCGAAAATAGTTTACACGTACAGTACGTGTACCTTCGTACCTTGGTAGGCAATAAATAGTGATACGGAAGTTGTACTGTAGGGCCTACTGTAGATACAAGATAAAGTACCTTTGGCTACGAGGGTATTCTATCTTCGTACAGCGTTGTACCTTCGGAGGAAGTACTTCCGTACTTTCGAAAGTATTCTATTTCCGTAACTCCGTAGTGTACGTGTACGTGTAGTTGTACTTCCAAGACTCTTCCAAGTACGAAAGTACTACATACGGAAGTACGAAAGTTCCGTACTTCCGAAATATGATACGTGTACAGCTGTACAGTACACGACTACACGTAGTTGTAGTACTGTACCTTCGCGTATGCCCTACGTGTACTGCACAGTATTTAGATGGCGAACTGATACCGCTGTAGGCTGTACGTGTACGTGTACGTGTACAGTACTTCCGGAAGTACTTCCGGAAGTACTTTCGTACCTTCGAAGGTACTTTCGTACGTGACTACGTTGTACAGTAACGGTGTAAAGCTGTAAACGTAGATAAAATAAACGTTGTACGGAGTACGGAAGTACAACGTGGTACTTTCGTACTTTCGTACGAAAGTACTTCCGGAAGTACAACGTACACGTACTTTCGTACTTTCGAAAGTAATCTTCTCGTACAGTTCTGTACACGTACGTGTACTGTACACGTACGTGTATTTCCGGAAATATCTATTTCCGTACTGTACTTTCGAAAATAGATAACAACTTACTTTCGTACGAAAGTACAAAATGATACTGAAGTACTTTGTACTTTCGTACGTGTACAGTACACGTACTATTGTACACGTACAGCTGTACTGTAGTGTATTTGTTGACCGGATTAGAGAGATCACGAATGCTGATTGCTGAACGTGCCACGTCGACAACGCAACCCAACTACAAGAAGAAAACCTCCTCGCGGCGGACACGAAGCTCAGTCGTTGCACTGGTATCAAGTCGACCTTAAAGTTCATTACCACATGGCTACGCATGCTGCATTTGCGAAACTCTCGGCTGGGGCGGTTTCTTCAGCGTTCGGACGCACTACCTCATCCCGCGTCGCAACGATGTTCGGGTCTGCTGACCCTAAAGTTGAACGCATGCTCCGAGGTGCCATGGTGGCGGCTGCTGCGAGGTTTGGCTCGAAGCACCAAGCTGAGATCAGATCCGTACTGTCCGATGACGCTGCATTCACTGGTCGACGTGACGCACTGAAGAAGGCATTGCTCGGGGTGGGGCAGCCCCCCCTGGAACTATGTATAGCTTGTTTCTTTTCGCGTGACTCCTTCTTCGTAGTGCGCACACTTACGTCTCGAAATTTCCACTGCAACGCAGGCAGCAGCTCTTTTACCCGTTTCTGAAGCATCTGCTGCTGATGATCAAGGCGTGGCATCATCTCGCATGTCTTACTCGCGTTTCTTGGTGAGTATTGACACTTCGACAACCCCTTCCAATCCACAACTCCTCCGTGTATTGCTCCAGTTGCGAAACGAACGCTATTTTCCTTATCGCGATCCTTTTTCTCAGATTCCCATTCGTCCCTCCTGAATCTTTTCAACTATTCCACAGGAATACCTTGATATAGGAAGAGTTAAGAAAGTTGATTTGTATGAGAATGGTACCATCGCCATAGTTGAGGCGGTGTCTCCTGAGCTCGGAAATCGCGTGCAGCGTGTGCGCGTCCAGCTTCCTGGTACGTCCGCCGAGCTCCTCGCCAAATTCCGGGAGAAGAACATCGACTTTGCCGCTCACACGAACACGGAGGATGGCTCTGCCGTATTCCTCAACTTGCTGGGTAACCTCGCGTTTCCTCTTCTACTCGTCGGTGGCCTTTTTCTGTTGACGAGACGCAACCAGGGAGGTGGAGGGATGCCTGGCGGCATGGGTGGACCTGGTGGCAACAACCCAATGGCATTCGGAAAATCCAAGGCCAAGTTTCAGATGGAACCTAATACTGGTGTGACATTTGACGATGTAGCTGGTGTTGATGAGGCAAAAAATGATTTCATGGAGGTCGTCGAGTTCCTGAAGCGCCCTGAACGGTTCACGTCTGTTGGGGCAAAAATTCCAAAAGGTGTCCTTCTGGTCGGACCACCGGGAACAGGTAAGACCTTGCTCGCGAAAGCCATTGCAGGCGAGGCAGGCGTTCCTTTTTTCTCCATCTCTGGCTCAGAATTCGTTGAAATGTTTGTTGGTGTTGGTGCATCCCGCGTCCGTGACTTATTCAAAAAAGCCAAAGAGAATGCTCCGTGCATTGTTTTCGTGGATGAGATTGACGCTGTCGGTCGTTCCCGGGGCACCGGAATCGGCGGTGGCAACGATGAACGTGAGCAGACACTAAATCAGCTTCTCACCGAAATGGACGGCTTCGAAGGGAACACCGGTGTCATTGTTGTGGCCGCTACCAACCGTGCTGATATTCTCGATCCCGCTCTTCTTCGACCGGGACGCTTCGATCGGCAGGTGAGTGTTGATGTTCCTGATGTCAAAGGGCGAATCGAGATCCTAAAGGTTCATTCTAAAAACAAGCGTCTTACTGAAGACATTGATATTGAGACCATCGCAAAGCGCACCCCTGGATTCTCTGGAGCTGACCTTTCCAACTTACTTAATGAAGCTGCTATTCTGACTGGGCGTCGTGGCAAGGAAGCCATTGGCATCTCTGAGATAGATGACTCAGTTGACCGCATCGTCGCAGGGATGGAAGGCACTCGCATGACCGATGGAAAAGCAAAGTCTCTTGTTGCCTATCATGAAGTCGGACATGCCATCTGTGGTACCCTAACACCTGGTCACGATCCAGTTCAGAAGGTAACGCTCGTACCGCGAGGTCAAGCAAAAGGGTTGACATGGTTCATTCCAGGCGAAGATCCATCTCTTATCAGCAAGCAGCAGATATTTGCGCGTGTTGTCGGTGCCCTTGGTGGTCGCGCAGCAGAGGAGATCATTTTTGGAGCTGCTGAGGTTACCACTGGCGCTTCAGGTGACCTTCAACAAGTTGCTAGTATGGCAAAGCAAATGGTCACAACCTTTGGAATGTCAGACGTGGGCCCCTGGGCTCTTAACGATCCTTCTTCACAGGGTGGAGATATGATCATGCGAATGATGGCCCGCAATGCGATGTCTGAGCAGCTTGCTAATGACATCGATATTGCAACCAAACGTATTGCTGACGAAGCATATGCTGTAGCACTTTCACAAATCAAAGATAACCGTGAAGCGATCGACGTGATTGTTGAAGAGCTACTTGAAACTGAAACTATGGACGGTGAACGGTTCAGAGAGATACTATCTCAATTTGCTGCAATCCCTGACGAGAACATTCCCCGCGAAATCGTGTTAGTGTGAAAAACCAGTAAACATTTCAGTTTGTACATATCACAAATCTTGGCAGTGACGCTTTTCGTGAGATGGTTTTCGCCCTACTTAAAGCGCACACATCATGGAACCCATAACCTCAGGGTACCCGACATGGAGAAAGTCGCCAATACAGCACGGTGAGGATGGTGACAAATGCCCAGGGGAAGCTCATCGTGAGCCAGGAGCAGTTTCTCAACTTCACTGCTTTTCACTGAAAAAAAAATCACGTTTCCATCTTCCCTAAGGATGTAAATCCAGTCGCATTTCGGCGACACGACACACGACACGAAGTCTCCTTTTCCAAGTTTGCAACTAAATGACTGAGCGACTTGCCCACGCGAAGTCATAACATGCACAGTGTTCTTCGTAGTACACACCACGAATTGACCAGGAGAGTTGTTGAGTGGAATAATACATTTTATAGCTGCCCTTCTTCCTGACGAGTCCAAAACAGGTGGATACAACTCCTCAATGATTTCCATGCTCTTGGAATCCCAGACTTGAACTATCCCATCTAGTGTGCCTGTTATGATCTGAAACCCATTGGTAGTGTACTTCGCATCTTTCACAGTGCGTTCACTGGACAACTCCTTCAACATTTTTCCAGACTTTATTCCATGTATGCGAACAGCACCATCAGTTGAGACGCTCAAAAGCTGACTACTGTCATAGTTGAATACCACAGAGCAAATCCCTTGAGGGTGTGCCTTTTCAAACTTACGAATACATTGTCCCGTATTGACTTGCCAAACCTTCACTTCTCCGTCCAGAGAGGCTGATACCAACAAGTCACTGTTCCTTGAAAAGTCGAGTGCAAGAACAGAAGAACTGTGCATAAAAAATAACTCCGCCTCTTGGTAGTGAAGGTTTCGCTCAAGTTTCCCTGAGAACCAGTTCCATAGTTCTACGAGGCCATCCACTGAACCCGTGGCAAGCAGTTGACCATCTGAGGAGAAACATGCACACTGAGGACAAGTTTTCAATCCGAAATTTATGGTGCAGTGCTCGGAAGCTGGACAAGCCTCAACTGCATCCACTATGGCTGCATTTGCGCTGCGAAAGAGATCGAAAAAGTGATCAGGCGATAATTTATTTTTCTCCCTTTGCCACTTGAGTGCCTGTCCTATCAGCGTTAACATTTGAGAAGGGGGCGCAACTGTAATCTCCCGTAGTAGTGTTTTTGCCAAGGACGCTCGGGGTATCTTTTTCGGCAAATCAAAATGATGATTATCTATGTTCGATCGAGTACTGCACTTCACCAACCGCTCAAGTTTCGCAAAGCGAGAAGGTTGCTCCTGACGCATGATATTCATCACCTTGGTTTGCATAAGTAAAAAGACTGTGTCAAACTCCTTGAGATGAATCATTTCCAGTACAATTTGTTCGACTAAGTCCTGAAGCACCTGTTGGGGCAAATGAAGTTGAGAAACCTGCAAAAGAACCTCATCCCAACGCCCATGCATTATGTTGTCAGTGAGTATTTCTCCACTGAATATTGTGTTCAGAGCAACCTGGGTGTAAATAAAATTATTTTGTCAGGTAGAATTCGCAACACTCTACAAAATAACGCGTGGGGTTGTTCACATTTTAAATTACAGAAACTATCAGTCGGGGTTGGATATGATCATGTGGAAATTCAAATTCAGACACCTGACATTCGTCTTGAATAGCGTAGTAAGACTGCGTGAGTTCGTTTTCTCTGCAGAACTGGAGAATAACTTTTACGATGTCCGAAGAGTCGACCTCCAGTTTCTGAGACATGGTGTCAAGCGCAACTTAGAATGGTGACTTAGAATGTTGCCTTCAGCACAAAAGTGCAAAGTTCTGAAGAGCCGGAAAATATCTGATGATCATCCGGGCCACTGGAGTTGTGGGAGGCGAAAGTGAGAACGACGTTGCCTTCTTATAAACTGTCTTTGACACTGTTCAACTCGTAGCCCTACGTGTACAGTACACGTACTCGAAGTACAAACGTACGAAAGTACTTTCGTACGAAAGTACAATACGAAAGTACTTTGTACTTTCGTATCAGCGCCTCCGGCGCTTCGGCCGTCGGTAGTTGGGAGAAGGGGCCCGGGAGCGTATTTAGTCTGAAGAGTACGAAAGTTCGCGTACAGGCTAACCTGGTGAAAGGCTCCTCCGCGTTCTCGCGCGGCGTGTCGTCGGGATTCCTTGGATACAGCCGCCCCATATCTCCGGCGCGCGCGCGCGAAAGTGCCGCTCCCGCGCGGCGTCGTTGTCGTTCGAGGACGACTTCATCGTCACCCCGAGGTGCAGTTTCCGCGTAGTAGTACGAAATTCGCGTACTCATTTCAGACTAACAGAGGGGTGGGATTTTGGATACGGGGCGCCAAACGCGTATTTATTGGTTGACATTTTCGTCCCTAGGTCGTGAAAAATGCCAGTCGCCGTCGCCACGTCCAAGAGAGAGGAAAAAAAAAGTTCCTTTTTCCACCCTGGCGATCAAAACATACAACCCAGAAGGCGAAGTTTCACCGCTGACGATAAGTTTATAAACCCTTGCGCGTCCGATGAAGTCGTTGCGGGCTCAGCCCTTAACCCGATCAGATAAAACCTTGAATATTCGACTAAATCTGGAAGCGCGAGCCCGATCAAAATTAGGGCGCTGCTTTGGCCGCACCGCCGAAACGCACGTGATTGGTCGAAATTTCACTCCCGGAGGCCGGAAGCGAGCCCAGATGGGAGAAAGTGCTAAAGCACTTCCCCCAAACTGTACGTGCACGTGTACACGTGTACGCGTACGTGTACCTGTACGTGCAACGTGTGTAGCTGCGTACCTTCAGGTACGAAGGTAGGCGGCCAAGTTACCTTTTATTCGTAGTATGTACGTGTACAGAAGGTAACGTTGTACTCTCAAGTACGAAGGTACGAAGGTACGAAAGTACTTTCGTACTTTCGTACTTTCGTACTTTCGTACGAAAGTACACATAGTGTGAAGTGTGAACTGTAGATAGCTAGATACGTCCTGTAAAAAAATACTTTCGGTACTTTCGAAAGTACTTTCGTACTTTCGAAAGTACTTTCGTACGACTTTCGTACTGTACGTGTAGGCCCTACCTGTATAAAAAAAGTGTGCGTGCAACAGTCGTGCAACCCGTTGTACGTGTACTGTACGTGTACAGCTGTAGCCCTAGCCAATGTGGCTATCTAACACAGCGAAAGGATATTATTAGAAAGGATGACGAAAGGTCGAGCGCGCGGTTAGCTGTAACATCGCGCAGAAGCCGTTTGGGGATCTGTAACTGCACAGCATATTAGATGACATCCTCCGCGAGGTGCGCGAATTGACCACGTCCGTGTCTGAGTCGTATGCGCAAAGCATAGACTGGCGCGATCGCGTCGATTTGTAAAAGAGCAACTTTCTTCGCAGCTACAGCCTCGACCCGCGGAGTTCAACTGCCGACGCAAGAGATCGTGTTTTTCTTGCGCCGCGCGAATTTTGAATATGCGCTAATGTGTTCATGCGATATACTCACGAAGTTTTTTTACGTTCGGAACTATTTCCACGAAGTTTCGACGTCGCGTACGCGAGCTCAGGAGACGGCAAATGTTTCGTAACGCCGAGTCTGTTTTGCAAACGACGAATCTGTGCGCCGGGACAGCCTGATTCAGCGCCACAGTTGTATAAAACTCGCTGGAATGATCATTTACGCTGCCTGGTTGATGTTCGCTTTGACGCGCCGGCCGCATCCGCGGCGCGCGCCTCTCTAACTGCCCTCCCGCGGTGCGGCAGTTCAAAGGATGAGCTCATCCTTTTAAAAAACGTACTACTGTACGCTCTGACAAGTTGCTCATTTTTAACTGAAATAATAATAGATACTAAAGTACTTCCGTACTTCCGTACGTGTACAGTAGGTCAGTACACGTACGTAGGGCTATGCCAGTGCATTTGCCACTCATTAGAGAAAATTTATTATTCCGCCGTCGCCGTTTTCGGGGTGAAAAACAGCGACGATAATAAATTTGAAACCAAAACCCACGTCACGTCGCGCCGTTGACAGGCGCCGTCGCAACGGCGAATCCCGTCGGCTCCGATTCGGAGCCCGCGCAGTTCGCTGTCGCCGTTTTTCCCCGCGACGTGAAGGCTCGTTCCTGCTCTGTGCGCGGAATCGATCAAACCGCCCCGCGCGCGGGCAGCGCGCGTCGCGGCGGCGGAGGCGGCGGCGGAGGCGGCCGCGAAGCGGCCGCGACGCGCGCACAGCGCGCGCGCACAGCGCGCTGGGCGCGCGCTGTGCGCGACCGCCGCGACGTCGTCGCGGCGGCCCGCGCGCCCGTGACGCCGTCGCCGCGGGGCGCTTTCGCATCTTTTTCGGGCGAGCCCGACGACGACCCGAAGACGCGGATGAGGTCGAACGACGACGCATATCGAATCGTCTTGGCTGCGATCTTCACCTCAGATTCTCGCAGATGATCATCACAATTGAGGTCCCGTGACCGAAGTTGACCATCGGCGCCGTCGTCGCCGCCGCCGCGAGAGGAACGCCCGCGGAAGGGGGGGGGGGATCGGGGTCGGACTTCGGAAGGTCCGACACCCACCGACGGAGCGGGGATGATCGCGAGTTCGCGAAGGTTAAGGCCGATTTTGAGTCCGCGATCCCGATCACGATCGCATTTTGTCGTGAGGATCGAGGGTACGCTGCCGCCGCCACCGCCGGCGGCCGCCGCCGCCGCCGCCGTGAGCGTCGGACGGACCCCGGGACCGGGGTCGGGACGAGGGCGTCGCCGCCGGCGTCGCCGGCGCCTCGCCGGCGAACCGAGGGTGACCCCGACCTCCCCAAGGCTGGGATCGACGTGATTGTGTGTCACGCGGAGGAGGACAGCATGTGCCTCGACGCCGCCGCTGCGAGTCGTGCGGCATCGTGCACTACTTCGAAGCGCACGGGTTGTCTCGCGACGACGACGACGCGTCGACAGAAGCCACGGGGGGGTGCGTTTCGCGGGACGACGCGACGAGACGCGTGGGAGACGGACTTCGGCCGGCGCGCGCACGCGGCGGCGGCGCGCGCGGAGGCGGACGCTCGCGACGCGGGGGGCACGCTGACGCCGCGCGAGGACGCGGCGACGGCGATGGACGCCGCGTCGCTCGGCGCCGACACCGCCGCCGCCGCCGTCGCGTCGACAGAAGCCACGGGGGGGTGCGTTTCGCGGGACGACGCGACGAGACGCGTGGGAGACGGACGTCGGCTGGCGCGCGCACGCGGCGGCAGCGCATGCGGAGGCGGACGCGCGCGACGCGGGGGGCACGCTGACGCCGCGCGAGGACGCGGCGACGGCGATGGACGCCGCGTCGCTCGGCGCCGGCGCCGCCGACGCCATAGAATAATAATAAATTTCCCCGGTTTAACGCCGTCGCGTTCCGCCGTCGCGGGCGTCCTATTAATAAATTCCTGAAGAGATTTCACCGGCCGACGTTGCCGTTCGATTGCGACGTTGATCGGTGCCGTCAGATAGACCGACCGAAAACGGCGACGGCGGAATAATAAATTTTCTCTATTTGCCCTATTGGATAAACACAGCGAAGATGAATACGAAGGTATTACTGTACTGTAGGCCTACTTCCGGAAGTACGGAAGTACACGTACAGTAACGCGTTGTACCTTCGTACGTTGTACACGTACATGTACACGTACTGTACGTGTACAGTACGTGTACACGTAGGTCTAAAATGATGAGCGTACTAAATATATTTCACTCCATTGTTTATTATTTATTTCACTCCAATTCATGCCCTTGTACATGTACAGTTGTACAAGTGTTGTACACGTACAGTCGTACACGTACGTGTACAGCTGTACACGTTACAGTACGAAGGTACGTGAGTAGTAACGCGTTGTACGTGTATGTAGCTATGTCGTACAGTACTAATGTATGTAGAATTATTTGACATTTGCCCTAAATTTCACACTATGGAGTCACCACCTACGTGTAGCTACGTGTACGTGTACACGTACGAGTAGCATAGCTACACCGTAGAGACGAAAGCACAGCAGAGAGTTTAAACGCCGAGAAGCGTGTGAAGCACTCACTGTGACGTTCCACGACCTCTGAAATACTTCCCGACTAATCGAAGAAGTGAAGTGTCTTAAAGCACGTCAATACGTGAACAGGGACAAAGTACCAATAGTACGGGGCGAGTCCCTTGTGGACTGCCTGCAGAAGGGAAACTCGGGAGAGCAACGTACTTTTTGCGGGCCACCTGGCTGTCCTCTCTCCGCGGAACAATGGACGCTCAGAGACTTTCGCTTCTCAAGCGCAAGCTTGAAACACTTAACTACGATGGGAAACTTGATCCGACATCTGCTCCGCTTACTGAAAAGGCATGTCACACTCGCTGCGTTTTTAACTGTTTCCACCGTTTCAGCTGAGGCGCTCGTCAAAATCTGTCGAATTCAAAAAAGTTGTGCTCTCGCACGCTTCTTTGAACTCAAACGGACGAAGACCTTGGTACCATTTTTACGATCATGATAAGATATGATGATTATGACGTTTATTTCCATCGCTACTCTCGTCACCGTGCACAGATCGTGGAAGACTTGATGAATGCCACCAACAGCTACCGTTCGCTCAAGATAAGAGTGACGAAGCAGGGCCAGGAATTGGAGTCATACCAAACCAAGGTTAGTTAGACTTCACCCACCTTATCTCCCGATGTAAAACATTCTCTCTCGATTCGTACAAATTTCCAGTGTTCGTGATCGTGTCTGCTGCTACGATTTTATAGGTTTTCAGGACACTGGGGAAGAGCGCTGAATCACTAAACCTCAAACCTGCCTTGTCTGTTTCCTTCTGAACAGGTCGAAGTCATACGACGCGAAAACGGAAAGATCATAAAGGAGAACAGCGCGCTACATATGGAAATGATAGCAAAGGATGAGAAGTGTGATGCACGCCTGCGCGAAGCAGCTATAGAGGCCCGTAAGCTCGAGGAACGTGTCTCGGAGCTCAAATTCTGGAAGGAGCAGCACGCGAACAGATATCGTGAGCTTGAAAAGGTCCACGAAGGAGTCAAAGCCAAACTGAATCATGTCATCAACGGTAATATAAACAAAACTCGCAGCGTGGCGTCCACTTGTTACGACGTTGAGGCACGCATGCAGCTCACTACTGCACTTCAGGAGGCTGCATCTGATGCTACGAATATGGTCACATCAAACGAGTGTTTTGAAGATCTAGTTGCGACAACTGACAAGCGTGTCGCTGCACTCCAGCGACATCTGAATGAAGCTCAGGCTGAGCTTGCGCGCATGGAGGCTGAGGTATGCGCCTCAAAACGTGCTGTCATGGCTCGGGACATCGAAGTAAGGCGACTCAATAGCCTTCTAGACGGAGGGCAACTGGACCTTGACAGCCTTGTGCACAAGGCAGAAATTCAGGCCAAGAATGATCGTATTATAATTCTCATGAAACAGGTGGAATCACTCACGCTTCAAAACGCGGAGACCGTGAGCCCTTATCACGCAGAATCTTTCGAGGAGCAGAATGGCGTTGGTACGTCGCCAGTCAAAGAGGCAAAAACTGATAATGCCACATTTGACGGGCAAAATATCGACCAGAGTGCGGTGCACAGTTCCAAAGTTGTGGAGGGTCAGCTTGCCGATACAAACTACTCTCAGCTGCTCATAACGTCACAGAACGAGACGGAAGAGCTGCGGCGAGAGCTTTCTAGGATACAGGTTGAGCGTGATAACGCGATCAGCCTCTCAATGCAACTTAAGGAGGCCACAGGTGCAGCAGCAGCTGCCGTCGCCCAGCATACGGGATTCACTGACGATGTCGTGCGGAACGCTGTTGCAACTGCACACGTCTCTGATCATCATAATGACGAGCTACTTGAGTGCATAGTTAATGCTGTGGAAGCACGCGATGCCGCTGAATCTCGAGCTGCAGAAGCCAACGCACAAGCTAATCGCGCAAAATTGTTACTTGCTGAGGCTGTGACTGAGATGCAGCGCTTACGCAACTTTGCGGAACAATGCGAAGAGCAACGTGACGAAATCATTTCAGCAGCAAGATCTGCAGAGGAAGCCGTGGAAAGATACAGAGCTGAGAGTGGATTACAACAGTCTACTCTCGAATCTCTCAAGGGGAGGGCGTATTCAGCCGAAGCTGAACAGCGTCGGCTAGACGGCTTGCTGCGTGAAGCTAGTGACGAGGTCAAGTTTCTGCGAAAGCAGTCGCATGCAGCGACAACAGCTAAGAACGAAGCCCTCGAAGTGGCGGCAGCTGCTGACGATGAGCGTTCCTGTGCAGATGTATCAATGGGTGCACTTCGTCACGAACTAAGTATCGCTAGAGAACGAGGGCAAGAACTGGAAGTACACGCTCGTGACGCAGGTGAGGCTGAGGTTAGAGCGAGAGCTATCGCAGCCGAAGCTGTCGCAGAGGCGGAGAGCGCTCTCATGGCAAGCGAGACTCGCGTATCAAGGATGCCTGGGGCGTTTCATTCATCTCGTGTCGTAAAACAGCTTACTGATGAACTTGAACGTGTTCGTGTGGCACTCGGGGTAGCGCTTGATGACGCTGCTGCGGCACAGGCCAGGCTGAGCAGCGTGGTTTCGACATCAGCTGTTTCGGCCAAACGCGCTACAGTGCTTGAACAGGAACTTGAGGCTGAGCGTGAAGCCCGTGTACATGCAGAAACATGCCTTGATGCTGCTGAAAATGCTGTTACTGCCGCACGGACTGTAGCAGAGAATTATGAGCTCGACGTCGCACGACGAGTGAGAGAGCTTCAAGTCGCTACAGCTGAACGTGATGATGCGCGCGCCGACGCGAGTGCAGCTTTGAGTGCCCTGCAAGAAGTGAGGGACCGCGCCCGCGCTGATGCAGATGCAGCCAGTGAGCTACGACGCGACGCCGAAATTTGCAAACGAGAAGTGGAGCAGCTAAAGACACTCGTGGCTGGTCTCAATAACACTCGAGATGATCTCGTGCAGCGTCTCCAGCTTGCACGTAAACATGCTCGCAAAGCAGCTGAGAAAATGATAAAGGCTGAAACCGGTGCTGCGGCGGAACGCTCTAAAGCAGAGGAGGAGGCAATAAACTCTGCGCGGACGAAGAATATCGTCCGAACACTCGATAGAGAGAGAGATCGCCTACAGTCTGAACTCGATATCATGATTGAGGATCTCCGAGTCGTGCGTGCTCGTGCGATTTGCGAGTCGGAGGCGGCTGAGGAAGCCCGCCAGGTTGCAGCTGCTGCCGAGACACGAGGCCTCGCTGCTGCTGCTGCCGCCGCCGCCGCAGAAAGACGTGGAATCGACACCGAACAACACCTCGAGCGCGCACGCCAAATTGAACATGAGCTCCGTGTGGAGAATGACACGCTCCGTGAGGAGTTACGCGCTGTCGCTGATGACCTTGCTTCTATGACCCGAGAACAACAACTCGTCAATTCCGAGCTTCTCAAGTGTTCAGGTGAGCGCGATGAGCTGTTGGCGAGTCTCGAGAAGACCAAGGCCAAAGCATCCAAGGCGGATGCTGCCGCTCGTGCTTCACGGAAAGAGGTGAACGAGGTCGTTGCAGCCTATCAGGATCTGGGAGCAGAGAACATGAGGCTACAAACTGCAGCTCTCGCGCTCGAGCGCGACGGACAGCGAGCTCGCCTAGCGCTCGATGCCAACGAGACAGCCTTGGCAACTGCTAAAACACGTGTTCGTGTATTAGAGGGTGAAAATCGCCAATACATAACTGACCTGCAGGCTTTTGAACTGCAAAATGATGGTCTTACGCGCTCGCTCGCTGAAGCAGGTCGAGCTGGTGATGGTGCCACGCACGAAACAGTGGCACTTCGCGAGCAACTATCTGCCGCACAAGCTCTTGTGACTGAGCTTGAGCGCGCACGTGAACACTCGCATCGCGAACTCGCAGCGGCAGATGCCAGCCTTCATGTTGCCCGCGCCCGACTGGCCGACGCCCAGGGAGAGCGAGAGACTACGAGCCACCGCCTGCGACTGGAAGCAAACAGGGTCAGAGAGCTAGAAGGCCTGCTTGCGGCAACAAGATCTCGCGAACACAACGTGGAGCTTGCCTCTTCAGAAGCTGCACAGCGGATTCAGACCCTGCAGGAACGTGCGCGTATGTTGGAGGAGCAAAATCATGCACTGCATCGTAGAATGCATGACATGCAGATGCAACGAGAGGCGGCAGACGCTGACGCTTCACGGCTTCGCGCTGTCGCAGGTACTGAGCACAGAGGTTCAACGTTGGTTGGCGACAAGGCGACGGAATCTCCTACAGAGGCAGCTAAACTACGTGCGCGGTTGGGCGAGTTAGATCGCTCATACGCAGAGCAAACAATCCACATCACCACGCTTACAGAAGAAAACGCAAAGTTGAGGTTGCAGCTGGATGATGCATCTGCTGCTGCGAGTTCCGCTCTGGCGCAGGCGTCGATGGCCAGGCGCGAACTCGCAGCAGCGACTCACCGCGAGACAATCCTCGCAGCGAGGGCAGAGGATGCGGCAGAGAGTGCAGAAACGTCACGCCGCGCACTAGAACAGACGATTATTTCCAGCAAAGGGTCTGATCATGACTTACCGGTCGCAGATGTCGGTGGTTCGGGGGCACGTGTTGCTGCAAAGGATCGCCTGCAGGAGGTGGAGCGACGCGCTGTCGCACTTGAAAATGAGTTACGTCTGGTTACACAAGAGAGACAAGCTCACACTAGCGACGAGACGAAGTTCCTTCGTGCGGAAAATTCGCGCCTCATCGCGCTACTTAGTGCTTCAGAAGGTGGCGATGCAGCTCTCGAGTCAGACCGACTCAGGGCAGCACTTGAAGCGGCACAGGAGAAGTATGCGGCTGTTGAGGCTGATTTCCAAGCTCTTATGAATTCTGTGGAAGGACTCAAGCGTAACGCTGAGTTGGGTGACGATACTGACGTTGTGAGAGGATCTGTGGGTGACAGTGCCGAGTTGAAATTAAGGCTGAGCAAGCTGGAGCGCGAGAATGCGTCGTTGCGGTCCAACCTCATCGGAACTGAAGAAGCGTGTGAAGGTATGCAAAAAGAGCTTCGGAGGATCCAACAAGAGTACAATGACCTTGCTAAGACCCTCACTGGCACTCTAGGCGAAGGTGCCGATGTATAAATGCGCTGAGAAGAGACGTTGCTCGATGTTGTGACTGCATCAAGACTCGTTGGCCGATGCATAATAACTGAAACATATAGAGAATCGAGACAAAATAATTCACCTTACAATATCGTCTGCTGCTTCTGCTTCTGCTGCTGCTGCCGCCACGTGCGCCCGGACGCGATTTCCCTCCGCGAGCGCCGCTGGTGAATGTAGGTATGCTGCCGCGTCGCGTGACCTTCTTACCTTTTCGTTACTTCGCGAATACATCGCACCTTCGAAATGCCTCAACGCCAACTCCACGGTTTAAAGTCCAACAGTCGATTTTATAAAAGAAGAGTCACAAACTGTCAGCGGTAGCGAAGTCAAGTCGATAAAAAGTTGGAGGTCTCGCGGATTGTGGAATGCTACTTAAAAGAATGCTACGCAAGTATGAAACTTAGTATGAATGCAGAAATCTGAACTTACCACCTCATCATTGTAGGAAAAGTGTGAAACACACCCGTGCAAGCGCTCGATCTCGTGTGGTGAGTATGCGGACGTCCGAACGAGGGCTCGAGCCAGCTGCACCGCATCGAGAAGCGCCTGATTAGCACCTTGCCCTTTGAAAGGTGACATAGGATGCGCCGCGTCGCCAATTAGTACGACTCGTCGCGTACTTTTCTCCCTAAGATCCCGACAGTCGGCTGGCCTCACGCAGTTACGGTCAAAGACAGGGTATCCACTAACGTTCTCTGTTTTTGTGCTTACGAGGAGTCCATGGACTGGATCAGGCCAACCCTCACATCGCTTGATTACCTCGTTGAGGAGAATCCCACCCGAAAACTTGCTGCTCGTCAAATCTCGAGCGCTCGCTTCGTCAAGAGGAAAAGAAAACTGCCACATCATCGCCGCATTCTGATCAACCGTATTCGTGCCCTCCTTCTTTTGCACTGCAGGGGCGAGAACCCCGTCTCCATCAGGCGATGCGCTGAAAGGCATCACATACAACCTACTCTCCCCGTCCACGACCTGTAATACCTTGTGATGACACAAAGGGTGATCAAACCCATGACATATTCCCAGAACCACCAAAACACCCGAATAGTGTAGCGAGTATTCGTCTGTGATCTCCTTGCCGACCAAAATTTCACGCACCTTTGAAAAAATACCATCAGCTCCAACAAGCAGGTCGCACGATTCTCTCGACCAAACGCTTACCACCGAGGGCGCAAAGTCAGAGTTGCTGCTTTCACTCTCTAAACTTAAGTATTGCAAGTACGTGCGTCGCACACCTTCGGTGCATTCCAACCACTGCCTCCATTGTGTGGTACCTGGTGCCAGACGCCTGAGCAGCGCCTGACGCAACACCTGGCGAGGCAGGTGAACATTGCATCCCTTATCACTTGCTGTGGTGCCCACACCTTCTGATTCATCAAAATCTGCCAAAGTGGCGTGACCGTAGCGGCCTAACTCGTCACCATTGGAAGAGAACGATATATTCGAGCTGGACCCCACCCCCTCGAGGACTAGTCCGAGATGGCTCAGTGCAGTCCCACCAGAGTACTTCTGCATCGTGAGTCCGTAGCCGTGCTTCCTAGATGTGAAACGATGGTCTTTTTCGAAGAGCGCAACGCTAACGCCGCGTTGCTGTAAGGTAAGAGCGAGGGCGGCTCCTCCGATGCCAGCGCCGATAATTTCAACACGAGATGAGTACGCCATTGGGGTTGGGAGGTCGCCGTGGGGGCTGAGCACTAATCCCGTGCCGTCGCAGTGGAAACACATCCGAAAATTCTTAGGAGAAAGAATCGGAGCTGAAGACAAAACCTTAAACGCCTTCCTGTTTGCCTCGTTTCCATCTTCACCGCCGCCAGTCTCACAAACCCCTCGTCCTCGTCCTTGGTGTCTTTGCTCTAGTTCCAGACGTCTCCATTTTCGTGCGCGTTTTTGCTTCTTCGTCAGCGTTACGAGCATTCCCTCACCCGCGCACTTATCGCACCACATCATTCCATACCCGGCACCACCGCAACCACAGTCAGCGTCTGCCCTTTCGATTTTGCAATTGTTGGACAGGAAGGGCAAATCATTGTTTCTCGAGCAACTCCCTAGCCGTGACAAGAGAAAAGTTGAAAAGGGGCAACCTCCTCCTTTTCGCGCGATGTCACCACGAAAAGACACACTATTTCTAGCAGAGAGTGATGGTGGCCAGTGTGCCCATCGCGCACCGCACGTGGCCCAACGACGGTGAGCCGCGGACATGAACACAGCCTCTCTATCCTCACGGTGCTGTCACGGAGCAGTGGTATGTGTACAGTGTACAACGCGTTACTGTAACGTGTACGAAAGTACCTTCGTACGAAGGTACTTTCGTACAACTGTAACCGGTGTACAGCTGTACACGTAGTTGTACATACAGTAAAATTGTACGAAGGTACTTTCGTACCTTCGTACGAAAGTACTTTCGTACGAAAGTAGTTGTACTTTCGAAAGTACTTTCGTACAACGTACTTTCGTACGAAGATACAGTACGTGTACGTGTACAGTAGTATTCTATCTTCGAAGATCCATTATCAACTTTCGGATTTCGTCGAGTACGATACGTGTTGTCCTGACTAAAAGCGCTGCCAGATTTTAGGTGTTACCCGAGTACGTTCCATCGAAAATCCGGACTGAATTGCGCTGTGCGGTCGTTTTCGTACAAAAAGTCGGGGAGTTTGAACCGAGATTGGCGAGTTCGGTCGACGATTTCGACCGACCGCGTGTACTCGCGCGTACTCGCGCGTACTCGCGCGCGCGCTGCCGCGCCGTCGCCGCGCCTGTCGACTTCAAATTGTGCACGGACGTTTGCACCGCCAACGCGCGTTGGCACGTGAATTTTCGCGAAATTTTACGCGCGGACTGTGGCAGGAGCAGGGGCGACGTGTCTCTCCTGCGGTGGACGGAAATCCACCGCAGTGGCAAACAGTCTGAGTACGAGTATCCTATAGTACCCAGTGCATGTCGAGACATCGTCTCGGTGTACGAGTAGTGTGTTGAGGTCTCTATGTGTACGTGTACGTGTACAGCTGTACACGTACGTGTATTTTGTCAGGTTATTCTATCCAAAGAACCTCAAAGAGTACACGTCCTGTGTGTACAACTACACGTACAGTACACGTACACGTACGTGTACAACGTTGTACACGTAGCGCTGCGAGAATAAATATTTGCCAAGATCGATGTCGCGAAATATATGTCTCCCCGAGACGCCCGTCGACACGAACTACGACGACGCGCGCGACCTGGCGTTCCCCGAGATCGGCGACCTGCGCGTCACGAGCACGGACAACGCGCAGGTGAAGCATTTCGCGAAGCGATTTGCGACGCGGCACTTCGCGAAGCGAATTGCGACGCGTCGCGCGTCGCTTGGACGACCGTCGCGCCACCGCGGGAGACGACGCGTCGCGACGTCTCGAGCACGACCGCGGCCGCGCACACGAACTACGACGACGCGCGCGACCTGGCGTTCCCCGAGATCGGCGACCTGCGCGTCACGAGCACGGACAACGCGCAGGTGAAGCACTTCGCGAAGCGAATTGTTGAATCGTCGATCGCTCGCGCGGTTTCGTCTCACCATGGCCTTCGATGACATCCCCGTCGAACTCGCTGCCGAAGTGTTCAAGAACCTCGACTATGGGGTAGACTCAAATTCAATCGCTCGACCGTCGTCTGTCACGCTCGGCACGATCGAGCGCGGACTGGTGCACGACTGTCCGGTCGAAGTCGCATCGCGGCGACCGTGTCTTCCGGTAACGACCGACGAAGGAAGGCACTTTCCTCCAATGGAGTTCCAGAAGAGGGGCTTACCCCACACTCACCTGATCTTGAAGATCAAGCGCGGCAGCGACTTCAACGTCGATAACCTCATATGCGCGGAGATCCCCGACATGGCGACGACCCCCCCGCCTTTGCCTCCCTCGGGGGCGATTGCTCAGCTCTACGTCGCTCTCAGTCGCTGCACGACTTAGCTTACATGCGTTGGTGTTGAAGCATATGATTCACGGACCGTGTGGCGCTGAAGCGGGCAATCGGTGGAAGCACACGGAGTCTGGGCGCACGACCACCCGAAGAGCACACCGGCGGTCCACTGGACGAACGCTCAGTATGTAGGCGTTACAGTATCACATCGTGCACGACCTCGGCCGCCGACGCCGAAAATGTCGCCGAGTCGGGGCTTTCGAAAACACGGCGGCGAAAATACAGACCGAGAACGAACGCCTCAAACATCTCAGCGCTCACCACGGGACGACGACGACGACGTACGCGGCGACGGCGACGCGAGATATGTGTAATCAAATTAAAACGTACTTTCGTACTTTCGTACTACAAGTACCCCACGCGCACTGTTGCCATCGCGCGTAAATTACCCTATCTCGATTTTTTCAAACCGCTGTTTCGATCGAGACCGCCGATCAACCTGGCCCGATCGAGTCCCTCGCGCCGGAGGCGCTGATTTGAAACCACGAATCCTTTCAACGCGCCGGCGCGGGAGGGGCGCAGCCCCGAGCGCCGGCGCAGCTCTAGCTAGTGATTCTTATACACAATTAGTTGTACAGTACGTGTACGTGTACGTGTACTGTAGTACGAAAGTACTTTCGTACGAAAGTACCTTCGGGTATGATTACAAAAAGGTGAGCTCTAACCCATCCGGGCAAAACATGACTACAGTACACGTACGTGTACGAACAATCCTCTCAGTACTGTACACGTGCTGTACAACGTATTTGTAATCAGATACACACTGTACAACGTACCGCAATTTCCCTGAGCGCGAGCGGCTACCTGTACGTGTACTGTACGTGTACGTGTACACGTACTGTACCTGTGTATTCGTTGGCACACTCGTATGCCACTGAGCTGCTGAGTTCATCACGACAGGAGTCTCAGGCACAACGCGCGGCGTCGGCGTCGGCGTCGGCGCCGGCGTCATGCCGAACCTCGTGTGCTTCGCCATCGTCGGGCTGCCGCCCGCGCCCGTGGCGATGAACGGCGAACGCGAGTTCGCCGGCGCGCGCGCGCGATACCGCCCCGAAGTTTTGTCATCGCATCCGCGCGCGTCGTCGTCGACGGCGGCATCGGACGCCCCGTCGCCGGCCGCGCTCGCATCGCACGCGCTACCGTCCGGGGTGGACGTGCACGTCGCGGACCCGCCCGAACGCGCGCTCGCGACGGTCCGCTACCCCGTCGTCTTCACCGAGGAGGCGGACGACGCGGGCGACGCGCGAGCGCGCGCCGTCGAGTCGGACGACGACGACGACGACGACGACGACGACGACGACGACGACGCGCCCGACGACGACGACGCGCGCGACCGCGGCGCGAGAACGTTCCACGTCGCGTGCGTCTCGTTCCTCGCGCCCGTGCCCGAGGAAACGCGGCGCGCGCTCGCGGGGTCGCTGTCCCCCCGCGCGCGCGCGCGCGTCGCGCTCTGCCTCGTCTCGCGTTCGCCCGCCGCGGCGGCGGCGGCGGCGCGCGCCCTCGACGCTGCGCACGACGCGTGGCGCGCGCGCGGGAGAGATATCGCGCCGTTCGCGGATGTCGTCACCGCGATCGTGGACGGCCTCGCGCGTCGCCCCCGCGCGCCGACGCCCGCGACGTTGGTCGTCGTCTGCGGGAAGCCCGTCGCGTTCCCCGCGCGTGCGCCGACCGCGTCCGCCGTCGCCGCTGCCGGCGGCGGCTCGATCGCGCGCTCTCGACCGGAGTCGCCGACGTCGCAGCCCGCGCACGGGAGAGACGCGAACCGCGCGGACGCGGTCGACGCGCCGCGGACGCTCCGGCGGACGCGATGGACGAACGCGTCGACGGCGACGAGACCGCTTCCGCCCGAGCGACTCTCGTCGCGAGGGTTTCACCGCGGCGTCCCTCGCGAGCGCACGTTCGACGCGCTCCTCGCGACCGGGGCGGGTCTGGACCCCGCGAACGTCGCGACGCTCGTGTTCGCGCTCGCGACCGAACGCAAGGTGTTGATGCGATCGCGCGACGTCGGCGCGCTCGTCCGCGCGTCTGCCGCCGCGCGCGAAGCGTTGCATCCGTTGCGATGGTCGCACGCGACGCGCGCGGCGACGCCTGCGTGGGAACTGCGCGATGCGACGCGCGCGAAGACGCCGTGGTTCCTCGGGATGATCGTCTCTTCGTCGTCGCGCGGCGGCGGCGGCGGCGAGGACGGCGACGGGATGGCGAAAGGCGAGAGGCGCGCGGAGGACGAGGAGGAGGGGACGACGTTGTCGTCCCTGTCTCCCGACGTCGTTGTCGTCGACCTCGACGCGAACGAGGTCGTCGTCGTCGCGCACGCTCGCGCCCTCGCCGCGGACGCGAAATCCGCGGGGAAGCACTCGGAAATAGTACGCGCCGCGCACGAGGTGAAGACCCCGGGAAAGATCGCGGCGGCGTTGATCGATCGACTGCGTCTCTTGACGGCGACGACGACAGCGGCGGCGGTCGCGGGTCCGAATTCCACTCTCAACGCGAGCGAGGACCAGGGCGACGTCGACGACGACGAAGACGACGACGATGCGTCCTGCTTCGAGACCTCGCTCGCTCGCGCGCGGCGGGCCGGCGCGCGCGGGAAGCGATGGAGCGACGCGCACGACGACGCTGCGCGCGTCGCGTTCGCTTTGTGTTGGCGCGACGTATTTCACGGATACCGTGCTCGAATAAACGCGAACGTGAACGCGAAAGCTTCGTCGTCGTCGAGCGTTTTCGACGCGGACGCCTTCGCGAAAGACGTCCGAGCGCGGGACCGCGGCGAAGACGCGAGTGTGGCACATTTCTCGCACGCGATGGCGCGCACGAGCGCGTTCGTACGACACGCGGAGAAGCAGGCGCGCTCGATGCGACGCCGACTGCGGCGGCGGAGCCTGCAGGAAAAACACGCCTCGAGCGCGGACGCGAGCGAGCGATGGCTTTATCCGAGCGAGCGGCGACGCGGCGACGATGGCGGCGTGTTGGACGACGGCGTGTTGGACGGAATGTCGTCCGATGGTGTGTCCGACGGTTTAGTCCGCGAATTGCGCCCGCGTCGCGTTCGGCCGGAGGGCGTCGGCGGCGGCGTCGAAGTCGCTGCGCGCCGCGTCCCGCTCGTTCGTCGCCGCGGCAGCGGCGTCGTGCGGTTTCGCTCGACGCAGCTGTATCCCTCGGCGGAGACGGATGCGAACACCGACGAGACGACGGAGGTGAAGCGCGGTCACGCGCGCGCGGGATCGTTCAGCGCCGCGGACGCGACCGAGCGACGCGTTTCGATGCATTCGTACGACGCCGGCGGCAGTCTCGCCGCCTCCGGCGCGGGAAGTCGGGGAGGATTCGTCTTCTCCGCGATTGGGTTCGCCACGGCGGCGCCATCATCAGACGCGTCGCCTCACGCGCTCGCGCTCGGTTCGCGCGTCGCGCCTCCGACGACGACGCCGCCGCCGACGTGCGCGCCGCCGCTGAGACTCGAGCCGCCGAGGGCGACGACGAGCAGAGGCGACGCGCGCTCGCGGAACGACGCCGACGACGACGAGCAGAGGCGACGCGGAGACGCGGTGTTTCTCTCCTTAGAGGGTATCGCTAAAGATGCTCCCGCGCTCGTCCTCGAAAAGTCGGCGCCCGCGCCCGATGTGGCGCCCTCCGCGTCGTTCGAGAGGCGGTTCTCGTCGCTTCGACGCGACGGGCCGACGCCGCGCGAGGCGAAGACGCATCGACGCTCCGCGAGCGGGGGAATCCCGTTTCCGTCGCCTCGAGCGGTCGCGAGCGACGACGGCGGCGGCATCGACGACGATGTGTTCGCTTTCGAAGAGCGGTCTGCGTCGGTCAAAACCACCGGGGCGATCGGAGAGAGATCAACGGGGGAGGACGGCGCCGACGCCGCGCCTTTCTTCCCCAGCGCGTCTTCGAAGGACGCGAAAGACTCCTCGTTCTTCGGTTCCCTTTTCAACGGCCGCTCGCGGCGCAAGAGCGTCGGAATGAAGCCAAAATTGGATTCGCGAAGAGGATCCCAGCGAGGCGGATCCGTGCGCGGCGTGAACGAAGGCATCGGCGCGACGGCGACGGCGGCGACGTCGAAGCGCTCCGCCGGCGACGAAGGCGGCGGCCGGGCTCCGTCGCCGACCGAACCCGATCCGTCGTTCGGGAGCGTGTTCAACGGGTGGCTCGCGGCGTCGTCGTCGTTCGTCGGCGCCTCGACGCGGACGGCTAACGACGCGGGGGGTGATCTCGATCGATCGAGCGCATCTCGCGGCGAAGAAGAATCGGCGTTCGACTCGGCGCCGTCCACCGCGCGCCGGGACGCGCCGTGGGAACGCGGATCAGCGGGGTCTTCCCCGCCAGGTTCCCCCGCGAGGGGCGCGAGGTCGGCGCCGATCAGTCGCGAAGGGTCCGCGCGAGCATCCCCAGACGGTAAGATGTTCGCGTCGTCGTTAAGATCGAGTTCTTTTGATGTTTCAAACCCTAAACCTGCGCCGACGGCGGCGAAGGCGGCGGGGGACGACGACGACGACGACGACGACGACGACGGGACGCGCGCGTTTGAAACCAAGAGCACGGAACTGTGGTCGCTCGCCGCGGCGAGCGCGCCGATGTCGTCCCGCGCGGCCGCGGCGAGGGCGGCGATCGAATCCTTCCCTACTCGCTCTTCTCGCGGCGGCTGCGCGGAGTCCGACGATTCGGCGATGTCGCTCGCGGCGATCGACCTCGAAGGCGTCCTGCACGCCATGGAGGTTTGGGGTCGTGTCGTCCCGAAAAAAACAGCCGCGCGCTCACCCGGTTCCTCGCTGACGCTCGCGCACTTAGCCGAAGAGTCCGAGACGAGCGCGGGATCCTCAGAGACGCCATTCGACGGCGACGAACCTGGCTCGGGTGAGGAGACGGAGAGGCAGCGTGGAGACGACGCGGACGCAGAGAGAGCCGCCCTCTCCCCCGAGGAAGAAGCGGACCGCTCGCCGACGACTAAAGACCCGGGGTTCACGCGCGCGCTTCACGCCGCCGCACACGCGGCTGTATCTTCCGGCGACGCGGTCGCGATCACTCGGGTGTTGTCATTGTCGAAGCGCGCGGGGTGTAGGCTCCCTGGCGGCGCCGCGCTGTGGGGGGACGTCCGCGTGTGGAGGGGGATCGAGCTCCCGACGGTTCGCCACGGCAGCGACGACGACGACAGTGGCGACGACGGCGACGGCGACGGGCACCGCGAATGGCTCGTTCCCGGGTCGACGCGCGTGCGCCGTCGAAGGACGCTCGCCTTGATGATGGCGTCGATCGGTTTACCCGCGCACGCGATCGCGTCGGTGCTGTCCCAGCTGCCGCGCGTGGACGCGGATGAAAACACCGCCGTCTCGGCGGACGGCGGCGGATATTTCCAAAACGCGCAACTCGCGTCCGTTGACGCCGTCAGACCGAAATCTCGCGCTGGGTGGGACGCAAAACCGGCGTGGAATAGCTACGGGACGAAGGCAGGGTCAGGCGCGAAGACACCGCGCGCGAACGCGGACGCGGACGACGCGGGCGCGAGAGGCGCCGCGGGAGCAGGAGGCGTCGCGGGCGCCGCGCCGCGGGGAAAAGAAAAAGAAAACATCTCGCCGTCTCACGCGTCCGCCCCGGGTATCGCGGTGTCGCACGACGCGTGGGTCGAGAACATGCGGCACGTCGTCGAGACCGCCTCATCGACGATATTATACGCGTCGAAAGCGGCTGGATCGATCGCACCGTGGTGGGCGCTGGACGAATGCACGACAGGGCGTGGCGGCGTTCGTCCGTTTCGTCGCTTCGAATCGTCGACGGCTGACGCCGCCGCCGACGACGACACAGACGCCTCCGCAGACTCCGACGACGACGCCGCCGCGCCGCAGCGCCGACGAATGCGCGCGAGCACCGCGCACGACGCTCGTGCGAATCTCCCTCGCGATCGCGCGAGCGTGCGCTTGTTCGATACCGCGGTCACGGTCGTCACCTCTCGACTCGCCCCCGAGAGCCGAGAGGGCGGCGGCGGCGGACGTGTCCGCCGCGCTCGGGAGGTCGTCGCCGCCGGATCCCAAGACGGCGCGTTCGCATCTTGGCACCCACACTCAAACGTCGTCGTGCGCGCTTCTAACCTTGGGTGGGGTGCCGGCGGCGGTGGCGCCGCGACTGCGCTCACCGCTCTATGTTTCCTCGCGGACGCGGAGATCCCCGGAGTCGGCTTCGAGAGTTTTCGAAGCGCGTCTTCGCGCGTGTGCGTCGGCGGCACGCGCGGCGGCGGCGTCGCCGCTTGGGACGTCACCACTGGCGCGTGCGTGCTCGCGTCCCCGGGATCGCACGCAGGCGCGGTGTCTAATGTTCGGGCGATGATAAACGGTTCAAATTCGACCGTTTTAGCGCTCACGTCTTCGACCAAAGACGCTTCGGTGAGGCTATGGTAGGATCTTTCTTTGCAACTCCCTCTCTCTTTCTCATTGCAAAACGCTTTTCTTTCCGTCCGTTCCGTCAGAAGTCTGGCTAGGTGCTCTCTTTTCTTGGGGGAATTTCACTGGCGGCGCAAACCCAGCTGCTGCGCTTCCTGAAGATACTCGGCGGGATACTTCTCGCTGCGGAGGAATTTTAGAGCCCGTTGAACGCTTGAAGTGATCGTCGCACCGGTTGCGTCGCCCTCGGGGTCGGCTGGGCCCAGAACTTCGATTATCAGTCTGTTCCGTCTGTATCACTCAAATTACACCGTCCCTCGTCCTATCTACCGCGTCGGGCTGCCCGCGTCTTATATCGTTCGCGTTATGACTTTACTAACTTCCCGAGCGAGTGTTGACTTTAACTTCTTTTTTGCTGGTGTCTCTACGTCATGGGATGTGCGTCAAGGCGCGCGGGAAGCCGCCGTCGCGCTCGGAGGGCACAAGAGAGGCGTGTGCGCAGTTTCCTCGCGCGCGGCTCTCGCATCCGTTTCTGGCAGTGACCTCGTCTTCACCGGCGACGGAAACGGCACAGTGTACGCGTGGGATTGGCGCAGATCCTCAGGGGGGGCGCTCGCGAGCGCGCGCGCACATCGCGGATGCGTCAACGCGATTTCCCCGGTGTCGAACGCGCGAAACGGCGCGGACGTCGTCGCGAGCGCGGGCGAGGACGGCGTCGTTCGCGTGCTATCCCTCGACGGACATCTTGGCGGCGCGATCGCGCTTCACGGACACCTCGGCCCGGTCACGTCCCTCGCGACTGTTCGCTACGGCGGCGCGAGCGGCGACGGGTTTGGAACGTCGCGGAAAAATTGGAACGGCGACGACGCGCGCGACGCCGCGCTTCGAGACGCGCACCTTGGGGCGACGCTGACGTATTCCGGTTCCTCGGGGAGCCTTTTCGGCAGATCGAGCGGATTCAGCAGCGGACACGACGCGAACGAGGGTTACCCGGGGTTAGGGCTCGTCTCCGGGTCTGTGGACGGCGCCGTCGCGATGTGGTCGCGCGTCCGGACAGGCGACGGCAGCGGCGGCGAGTGGCGTTGCGTCGGAAGAGCGCACGCGCACGCGGCCGCGGTCGCCGCGGTCGAAGCGTACGTCTCTCACCGCGACGACGGCGGCGGTGGCGTCCTCACCGCGGCGTGGGATAACTCCGTCGCGTTCTTTCCTCGCAGCACGGTCGACGGCGTGCTCGGGCGCGCTCGGTACGGCGGCGGCGGCATCGGCTTCGCCGCGGACGCCCCCGCGACGCGGCGCGACGGGCGGCGCTCGCGGGCGCACTCGCGCTCGGGGTCGTTCGGGGGAGAGCTTCATCGCGCCGTCGGAGGGGCGTCGTCGACGTTGACCCGCGACCGGACGTCGAGCTTCGACGACCGTGGCGGCGGTCAGTCCGCGCTGTTCGGGGACGCCGGCGTCGGAGGTGGCGTGCACGACGCCGACGACGCGCTTTCGTTTTCTTCGAAACCGCGGACGTGGACGCCTTCGGGGATGCATCGCGCCCCGGGACGACCGCGAACGATCGCGATCGATCCAGCGGGGAGGCGACTCGTGAGTGGGTTCGCTGACGGAAGGGTCACGTGCGCGGTCATGAGCGCGCCGTCGACGGCGTGACCCGCCGCGGCGGCTAGACAGAGACTGGTTTTTCTGCGCCTCGGGAGCGATTTTTCAAATCCGTTTGGCGCCCATCTTCAAAACGCAAAGGCGTGAGAACTGGACTGGTTCTCTGGTTGTAGTATTTGGGAGAAGGGATACCTTCATCTAGGGTTTTATTCCGGACCTAGGTACGAAAATTTCAGCCTATCAAATGCGTTTGGAGTTTCGTATGCAAAAGACCGCCACGGGACCTGACGATGTACTCTTCCGATGAAAACCACTTTTAAAACAGTACAGTACACGAACTTCCGTACTTCCGGGAGGCGCTGATCTTATAAACCTTATCTAGCTGCTCCAAGTTCGAGTTTTCTAGGAGGGAGCGAACGAACTCGTCCCCGCGCCAGTTCCTCTCGCGCCGCCGCACGTTCGCGACCGTTCGAGGACGGCATGAGCAACGAACGTAAGCGCCGTCGGGCTGATCCACCCGCTCGCGAAGCGCCGAGCGTCGACGTCGACGACGACGTCTCCCCGGGCGACGTCCTTCGCCTCGTTTCAGCGCGGTTCGACGAGCTCGAAGAAAAGCTCGAACGCGTCAGGGAGGAGCACGTGGAGACGCGGGCGGAGCTCACGGCGACGCGGAGGACGCCCGCCGAGCTCATTGATATCGTCAAATCCGTGAACCCGACGTTCGACGTCAACGAGCAGCTCGCGAGCGTGGTGTTCTCGCACGTGACGGACGTCTGCACGCGTGTCGCCCTTTCCCTGGTGAACTCCGTGTGGCGCAAGGCGTCGAAAGTCGCGTCTTCGCAGCCGCTGACTCTCCGCTTCAACATTGAGATGCTGGAGTGGTATAAGAAGGGAGCACTGCATGGCAACACTGAGTGTGAGATGATTGTAGGGTGCGTCTACTACCACGGCGTCCTCGTGAAGAAAGACATCGACACGGCTTCGCAATACTTCGAGAAGGTAGCCGCGAAGGGTGACGCCGTCGCACAAAACAGTGTAGGTTGTTGTCTCTTCGAGAAGGGGCGATACGACGAGTCGTTCAAATGGTTCACTAAAGCGGCCGCTCAGGGGATCATTTCCGCGGATTGTAACCTCGGAATCGCCTACGAACACGGCTGCGGCGTGACGAAAGACATCCCAAAGGCCCTTGAGATGTACACGAAAGCCGCGGAGAAGGGCGACGATCTCGCGGCAAAATTCCTCCGCAAACTCACCAAATAATCAGCGTTTACTAGACGAGCACGTCCTCTCGTTTGAATGACAACAACGACTGTACATCTACAACGACTACACCACCTACGCGTCCGTCGTGATCCTCTCCAACGTCTTCGACATCAATCGCGCGTCGTCCCCGCCGATCCGAACTGTACAACGTACTTCCGGAAGTACTTCCGTACGAAAGTACGAAAGTACATCTGAACGTGTGTAGATCTGATTACAAAAAGACTCAGCTCTAACCCATCCGGGCTAGAACGTGTACGTGTACGTGTAGGTTACGTGCATCTAAGCGCTTTAATATACACGTACGTGTACCTGCTCGCATTTAGGTCACATGTTTAGCCCGGATGGGTTAGAGCTCAGTCTTTTTGTAATCAGATCTACAGTACGCTCATCCGGTCCTACAGGTAGGCGCGGACGTGCGAGCGGAATACAGTACACTGTGTGTATATCTGATACAAAAAGACGAGCTCAAC